GCCTGACCCTGTTCTGCCCACTGGCACTCAGGGCTGCGTGCTTCCCCATCCACAGTCCCCAGGCCTTCTCGTCTTGTCCCTTTTGATCATTAACTCAGGGTTTCAGCTCCAACCTCACTGAGCTGGTGCAGCTCCAGGTCATTCCTGGGGTGGAAATTGGATCATCCCTGACTCAGCTTTTACCTTAATTTTATTTGCAGAGGATTTTTTTCTCAAAATATTCTGTGGCATTTGGACACACATCCCATGTCGATGTTTGCATAGGAGTCATTTTCAGTGGAATAACACTTTTAATGTGTAGTTTTACGGTTCAAGGAACTGCATAATGATTTTGAGGAAACACTTGCCAGAAACTAAATGAACAAAAGATTGCAGTGCCCGGCTTGGGTCTCCTGTGGTTTCTCTAGTGGGCCCCGCGCTTGGGCACGAAGGCATCTGACGGAGCCTGTGGATGGGGGAAACCAGGGGTGCAGCAGCCCCCAGGTCACCATTGTGTGATGATGCATTAGCCCAGAAATCCAGCTTGAGGCTGCGTCTCCGGGAGCCCCTACAAATGGAATGGGTCCCCAATCTGCAGCTTCCCATTGCTGCCAGGAAGAGGCTCTGGTGGTCCTGACTTCCCTAAAGAAGAACTGTGGATTGTCCAGAACAATCTGGAAAGGGGTTAAATGTACTTGGGCTCTTTGGACTGCAGCCCAGAGACTCGGTCAGTGTAGTTGGAGAGGGGGCTGAGGCAGGGGCTGGACACACCCAAGTCAGGGTCCTGGGCCCGTTGCAGGCCCTATGGAGCCACTGCGTCCCCAGAGATTCATAGCCTCCAGGGCCCAGGGCCAGATCCAGAGGCGGAGCACTCAGCTCTGTGCCAACACAGCCAAACATGTAGACCTACTGGGCAGCCTTTACTTCAGGCGCACTGTGGTGGCGGCTGGGGGTCTGCCCTTCTGTGAGAATTGGGGGAACCATCTCCCAGGCTACTCAGGGCTCCTGTGAGAAGCTCAGTGATGCGTGTCCTCAGCCCTCGCTCCGCAGTTGAAGAGGCAGGTTCGTGCCGTCTGGACAGATGTGAGCAGCCTCAGGGCCAGCCTCCTCCCTCTGCGGGCCATGCCCAACCCTGACCTAGCCCGGTGGGGGCCTTTCCCTGTGTGCTGCACTCCGTTCTCCCAGCTCCAGGCACCTGGCGCGCTCACACTGTGGGAGTGGCTTGGGCAGGTCCCCAAGGTGTATCCCCCCCACCCCGCCCCAACGCCTCCCATCTGCCCTGTGGCGGCTTATCAGGTAACCAGAGCCGGCAGCTTCATCCACGTCTGAAACAAGAAGCCCTGGCCTGTGCATAAGTCACCACTGAGAGCCCGGGCCAGAGGATGGAGGAGCAGCGGGCACTCGTGGCCGCCAAGGATGGGGATGTGGCAACACTGGAGCGGCTGTTGGAGGCTGGCGCCCTGGGCCCGGGCATCACCGATGCTCTGGGGGCCGGCCTGGTTCACCACGCCACCCGGGCCGGCCACCTGGACTGTGTCAAGTTCTTGGTGCAGCGAGCCCAGCTGCCTGGCAACCAGCGGGCCCACAATGGGGCCACCCCAGCGCATGACGCCGCCGCCACAGGCAGCCTGGCCGAGCTGTGCTGGCTGGTCCGCGAGGGGGGCTGCGGTCTGCAGGTGAGCGGGGGACGGGGCAGCCTGGCCTCCACAAACCTGGCTGGGGTGGAACCAGGGAGGTGTGAGCCACGCAGGCTCAGAGCACTGGCCACCCCGGGCTCCACGGCCCTGGGCTCTTCGTTTCTCTTGGGGACTCAGTGGTCGCCGTCTCTGCCCCACGCTTCTCAGAGCACAAAGTCTTGAGAGCCAAGAACACCTCCTAAATGTTCTTATCACCTCTCCTGCCAGGAAGCTGGGTGTTACCAGTGGGGGTCTTGCCAGAGGTCAAGACCCCTTGTCTCTGATCAGGCCTGGTCCACAGGGCCCGCTTCCCAAAGGGTCTAGAAAGGGATCCTTACAGAAGCGCTGTGGGAACTCGGGCTTGAGAGCTGGGAACCCGGTTGGGAGACGGGAGTGAGGGCTGCTGATGGTGACCGTCTTGTCCGGAGCATTTCTACTGGGCCCCCCTCCCCTCTCCTGCCTGCCCCGTCCCCTTTGTGCAGGCAAGGGCCTTCAAGCTGTTGCTCAGCCCTGTGGAGCTTTCAGGACTGAGGGTGAGCAGGACTAACAGGCCTTAGAACACCGCCCAGAGATCAGAGTTGGGTGGGGGCCGGTGGGACCTGCTGAGATTAGGGAGCGGGAAGGTTCCCCGGCACCTGGCTCACCAGAGGGCCTGAGAGTGCCAGCCTAGCATCCCGTTCCGCCAAGCTCAAGGGCAGCAGGTGGGAGCTGTGCCTGCCTGGGGATCCGTTCTGACCACAGGGCCCTTGGAGAAGGCCTCGGTCTGCTGGACCCCTGGCACCTGTGGTGGAAACGCTCCCTGGCCCCAGGGCCCTGTGGCCAGAGGGAGGGCACTGGGGCAGGGAACCAGCCAGAGGGAAGTGTCCTGGGAAGCCTTTCTGACCATGAGCAGAGTGGGCGGGTGTCTGTGGGCACCCGGCTGAGTGGGAAAGGGCCTTCTCCGCACTGGGGACAGGGGCCCAGGAGGGGCAGGGTTGCCAGAGGTGGCCTCCCAAGACCTGGACCTGAGTCCTGGCCCTCCTCTCACCTCAGTCCCAGCAGGGAGCACCTCCCTCCATGTTGCAGGCAGAAACGGAGGGGAGGAGGAAGGAGCTGGAAGCCCCTTCGCTGGGTTGCAGGCAGTGTAAGCCCTCGCCTGGGGCTCCTCCAGCAGCTGGCTCTGGCCACCCGGCCTACCCCCCACTCACTGACCTGCCTGGGCCTCGGTAGGACCAAGATGCCTCGGGCGTCTCCCCGCTGCACCTGGCCGCCCGTTTTGGACACCCGGTGCTGGTGGAGTGGCTGCTCCACGAGGGCCACTCGACCACGCTGGAGACCCGGGAGGGGGCCCTGCCGCTGCACCACGCCGCCGTCAGTGGGGACCTGACCTGCCTGAAGCTCCTGACAACTGCGCATGGCAGGTAAGGAGCCCAGAGTCCCGCCTGAGGGGCAGCCTGGGGCAAGCTGGCCAAGGGGAGGCTGCACCGAGGAGGGCCAAGAGGACAGGCTGGTAGCCTTTGAGGTGAATCCTGCAGACGGGCATGCTGTCACTGTGGGGTGAGCTGGCAGGAGTCAAGGGCAATGAGGCCTCTACCCACAGGCCAGGCAGTAGCGGTGCCATGCCAGGGCCCAAGGGGACACAGGCCAGCGCTTCAGCTTGGAGAGTGGCTGGGGGCAGTGAGGACAGCAAGATGCTGCTGTGATGCCCAGGGCAGCTCAGGCCCCGCCTGGGGGCATCTCAGGACCTAAAACAGCTTGGGACGTGGGCAACCGGCGACCTGTGAGGGCACCCTCCCCTCACCTGACAGGAGTGGGGACTGTCTGGTGGACTTGGGGACACAGAGGCTGGAGCTACCTCTGCACTGCCCCATCCCTAGAGCCAGGCACTGGCCTCATGGTCTCCGGGGCCCTGTGCCCCTGCCAGAATTGGTGGATGGTTAAGGAGGAAGGACAGGGTCAGGACAGCCAGTGAGGCAGAGGGCTTCCCTCCCCACCTGGACGCTCCTCCAGTCCTCGCCCTGCTTACCAAGGTCACCGTTGTCATAGGAACAGGCCCTCTGCCTCCTGCTGTCTTGGCTGAGGGTGAACCTTTCCGTCCCCCAGGGACCCACCTACCTCTGACCACGGCTCTTCTCTTTTCGAGGTAGCATCTCATTTGCCTGTCGCTGCCCCAGAGGCCTCAGTCCCCACATCCTCTTAGCTCCAGGACAAGCCCCATGCTTGTGGAATCGGGTTCTCACTCCTGGGTGTTCCCATCCTGGACCGCTTGGCAAAAGCCTTGGGATTTGCTTCTGTGGCTTTTTGCCCGAGCATCCACACCACCCCCAGCCTTGGCTGGCCACAGTCTCTCTCAGACCCACCTGGCTTTTAAAGAAGTTTCCGCCATTGAAAACTGGGAGACTTGGGCTGAGTGCAGTGGCTCATGCCTGTAATCGCAGCATTTCTGGAGGCTGGGGCAGGAGGATTGCTTGAGCCCAGGAGTTCAAGACCGGCCTGGGCAATATAGCGAAGCCCCCATCTCTACAAAAAATGTATTTAAAAATTAGCCAGGCATGGTGATGAGTGCCTGTAGTCCCAGATACTCAGGAGGCTGAGGTGGGAGGATCACTTGAGTCTGGGAGGCAGAGGTTTCAGTGAGCTGAGATTGTGCCACTGCACTCCAGCCTGGGTGACAGAGCAAGACCCTGTCTAAAAAAAACAAAAAGAAAACCAGGAGACTTCATGTTAATATATACACACACACACACACTCACACACACAAATGGGAAGGTCCTGTACCCCTAGCCTAGTTCCCACCTAGCACTGACCAGCAGCTGAGAGGTGGCTGCTGCTGGCCAGACCATGCCCCTCCAGTGGCCCCCGACCCACTGGCTGCATCATGGCCTGCTCCCAGCCACCGCACTGGACACTGCCTGTTCCAACCCTGGATGCAGTCAAGGACGCCTGGCAGAGTCCAGTGAAAGCACGGATCCTTCCCCGAGAAGGACACCAAGGCATACTGGCAGCCCTTTGGGGCACGTTCCATGAGCAAGTGTACCCTCAGGCTCAGCAGGTGCAGGGGACGATCCCTGTGTGGTCCAAGGCCAGGGAACAGCCACCAAGGTCCTGTGTCCCCCTTGCTAGGAGCAGAGGAGAGGTTGGTAAGGCAAGGGGGCTGGTACTGGCAGGGACTTTGTGAGGGGAGGGGGGCTCAAACCCAGGTGCAAGCCCCTGGACAGATCAGCTCCCAGCCTCTGCCAGCTGAGGCCTGTGACTAGACTCTCCTCTGGGGTGGACCCCGAGTTGCTCAGATTCATCCATCAGAAGTGGGGAGCACGTGTGGGGGTGCTCGTGAGATCCCTTCATTATTACCCAGCTTCCCCTCTTGAGAGAGGAAGGGCCTGGAAGTGGAGGGTCTGGGACAGGGTGGCGTGGTCAGCAGGCTTGGCGGGAAAGCAGGCACGAGCCGGAGAGCTGACCCTCCCCAGTGACATTGGCCCTGCCTCCACACCGCCACTGCGACCCCAGCCCAGCCAGTGCAACCCTCACCTCATCACAGGCTGCCACAGCTACCAGGCACCCAGCATCACCTGCCACAGGGCACAGGGCACAGGGAAACCCCTAAGGGAGTCGGGGTCAATCCCGGGCCTCCACTGGGACAACTGAGAACCTGGAAGGCAAGACCGTGACCCCTCAGATCTAAGAAGATGCATGTTTCTGACCTGGACCCAGGAGTTCCCAGAAAAGGACAGAAGGATAGGAGAGTGGGGTTGCACAGCCACCTGGGGGAGCAACCTGGAGGAGGGAACCCCACAGTAGCAGCTGGAAAGCACGTGGGAAACTCAGCCATCACGGGCAGGGCCAGGAGTCAGCAGTGAAGTCCAAGCAGCTGAGAGATGGGCTCAGCCATAGGCAGGGACTGGGCCTCCAAACCCTCCCTTCCCTGCAGCAGCGTGAACCGGCGGACACGCAGTGGCGCCTCCCCACTCTACCTGGCCTGCCAGGAGGGCCACCTGCACCTGGCCCAGTTCCTGGTGAAGGACTGTGGTGCTGACGTGCACCTTCGTGCTCTCGACGGCATGAGCGCCCTACACGCTGCCGCCGCCCGCGGCCACTACTCCCTCGTCGTCTGGCTGGTAAGTAGGTGCCAGAGGTGGAAAGGGGACATCCAGGGAGTGTGGGTCCTGCAGCAAGCAGAGTCTGGAGCCTGGATAGGGGCTCCAGAGGGAACTGGGGACACGCAGGGCTGTTGGGGCATCCAATGAGCTGGTCCATGGCTCCCGAGACCCTGCAGGCCCGGCCAGGCTGGGCCCCGGAAGTTTTGACCGCCTGCAGTGCACTCTGCTCTGTGGGGTCGTGCCATGGCTCCCCTGGGGCTCTCCTAGTCCCTCTCTCCCCGGAAGTCCTGGTGGGCTTCCCGGGTGCTCTCACAGTTGGTGGTGGCCCATGTGCTTTGTCTGCGCCCACACCAGCAGTGCCCAGTTTGGGTCACTCGGCCGCTTGTTCAGGCCCTGCCGCCTGAGATCCCCGGGCCAGTCCCCACCTTTCTCCACTTCTGGCCTCTTTGGGGAAGGAAGACCTGAGACCCCAGAGCAGAGTGACTGAGGTTGGGGAGGTGCCATCTTCAAGGGTGGGCTGGGGACTTCCTGCCTCTACAACAGAAAAGCAGAGCGGGTGGCGCCTGTAATCCCAGCTACTCGGGAGGCTACGGCAGGAGAATCGCTTGAACCTGGGAGGCAGAGGTTGCTGTGAGCTGAGATCACGCCACTGCACTCCAGCCTGGGTGACAGAGTGAGACTCCGACTCAAAAATAAAAAAAGAGTAGAGGAGGCCCTCTTTGAGGAGGGGACTTGGGGGCAGAGCTGAGGATGGACAGGAAGTGGCTGAACAAGGAGCGGGGCCCAAAGCAACTTCCTGAGGGGGGCACACCTCATTCAGAGGCAGGGAGAGCCTGGCCCATGGGGCCTGGGGGTGGACCGGAAAGGCAGACAGAGGTGCTGGGAGGACTGGGGCTCTTTCCTGAGGGTCCTGGGGAGCCATGGAAGGCTCAGAGCCAGGAGCAGCAGGATCTGACTGGCGTATCGGAAGGTCACTGTGGCTGCTGGTGGAGAAGTGCGAGCTGCCTGCCCCCAGACCTCCCACGCTTGCCTGAGGCCTCCTGTCTCCCGGCTCCCACCCACTCAGCTCCAGCTCCTTCTCCAGCAGGCCAGGCTGGCTCTGCCCCCGGGACCTGTGCATGCGCTGCACCCTGTGCCTGGTACACAGCTCCCCAGGCGCCCCTGAGGCCTTCCCTGACCAGCTGGTTTACTGCGGGGAGCTGCCTGCCCAGACTATCCTCACTCCTGCTTTCCTCCCCCGCGCACCAGCACCGGGCACACGGCACGTCTGACTCCTGGTCTTGGTGGTGGTTTCCACCCGCCGGGGTGTAGGCGCCAGGAGCTCCATGGGTGCAGGACTTCGCCACCCACTGCGTTCCCCACACCTGGCATGCGGTCAGGCTCGAGAGATGTTTACTGAACCAATGGGCAAGTGAAGGAACGGGGGCCTAGTCCCTTAGGATGGCACCCGCTGCTCACCATGGCCCTGAGGCCCTTGGGATGGGTCCCGCCTGCTCACCGTGCCCCCGGGCGCTCGGGATGGTGCTGGCCTGCTCCCCCTGGCCCCAAGGTCCTCAGGCTGGTGCCAGCCTGCCCACTTTGGCCCCAAGGTCACCTGAATTGGCCTCCAGCCTCCCTCTGTGGAGACTGCAGCCCCTCCCGGTGCCTCGCCTGCGTGTGCGCCCCTCCCCACCCCGGGGGCTGCCCCTCCAGCTCCTCCTGCTGGAGCGGCCTCCCACAGAGGAAGCTCTCTTGACCTGGTCCCGCCCTGGCCATCCTCCCCTCGCCCCTGCAGCAGTTCTGACCCATTCACTCCAGACCTCAGCCTCCCAAACGATGCCTGGGCCCTGGGATGAGCGGTGGCTGCACACAGCTGGCAGAGCGGCAAGAGCTCACCGCAGGAGGTCCACTGAGCCCTGGGACCGTGCTGAGGCATGAGCGGCCCTTCCTGGGGAGAAAGCGGACAGGCCTTGGGGTCTCAGGGCCAGAGAGGCCACTCCAGATGCGAAGGAGCCCCGCGGCAGCCCTGTCCCTGTCTCTGTTTCCAGCTCATTGTGCTTTGCCTAGCAGACGCTTCTGATCAGTCAGGAGCGCCCTGGCTGCGCTAAGAGGCACTCACACCGAAGGTGGCGGGGGCTGCTGACGGCTCTGCTGTCCTCCTGGCCTCCCCGACGGGGAAAGCGGGCACACTCAAGGCAGGAAGGAGGAAGGAGGGCGAAGGCAGGGAGCCAGCACGCCTATCACCCCTCTGTCAGGAAGGCAGTTTGTCCTAGAAGACCCCCGCGTCCCACTGGCCGGCCCAGGCCCCATGGCTGTCCCAGCTGCACAGGTTTCAGTGAGTCAGTGTAGGGGACTATCACCTGGCTGGTGCTGTGGACCAGAGCAGGCACCGTTCAGAAGGCAGATGAGGCCCCAGAGGCAGGGCTGGCCTCAGCCAGCAGTGGTGGCCGGCAGGTCAGGGCCCCAAACCTCATTGCCTGGCTCAAATCCAGGCCCTGGAGGGAGGCCAAAGGACCCGCTGCTCCAGCAAAGGAGCTCAGTGCAAATGCCCAGCAAGGCAGCGCCACCCTCGGGCCAAATGAAGTTCTTTCCTCCCCTGCCCCTCCCTCCCTTCCTGCTTTCCTTCTCTCCTTCCTTCATAGCAAATGCTTCTTTACTGTTCCCTAGGTATTTCATTTGCCATGATATTTGCTTTCAGATTTAGGACCATGGTGTCTCCAAATTAAGCTACTGCGCTCACTTCACCCCCACCTGGACCCCAGAGGTCCTGCTGCCCCAGGGTGACGGGGACGCACGTGCTGAGCCAGCCCTGTCCGAGGTTTCCTGAGGTTGTGCCCTGTGCCCTGAGAGGCACAGCCAGAGTCCACTTTCAGTTCTGCTCTCAGTTCTGCCTCCTCCCTGGGAGGGTGGCTGCTCCCACTGCTCCTCCTTCCGCAGGTCACATTCACTAACATCGGACTCACGGCACGGGACAATGAGGGGGCCACGGCCCTGCACTTTGCAGCCCGAGGCGGCCACACACCCATCCTAGACCGACTCCTGCTGATGGGTGCCCCGGTCCTGAGAGACTCCTGGGGTGGGACCCCCCTCCACGACGCAGCAGAGAACGGACAGATGGAGGTAAGGTGGGCGTGAGGGAGACAGGGTGAGCAGTCACGAGTGTCAGCCATGCCCAGCACTGTGTCACTGACGCTCATGGCAACCCTGTAAGAATGATGACTTCCCTTATACAGATGGGTAAACTGAGGCTCAGAGTTGCAAAGTCACTTGCGCAAGGTCAAGAGCCCAGGGTCAAGTGGCAAGATCCAAGCTGTATGCTCTCGTCCTGCGTACCATCCTCCCTTCCTTCGCACAGAAACTCCCTGGTGCCTGGTCAGGGCTTGGTCTTGGTGACAGTCTTCTCAGAACAGCCCTTGGGGACGGACCCTCTGCCGTGAGCAGCCTTCGAGCAGAGTTGTGGCAGGGGTGTGATGTCAGCCCCTTTGCTATTACCCAGATAAATCTTGGGGGCTCACATGGCCCAGCCTCAAGGACACGACATCCAAAAACCCCACGTAGGCAGGGATGGTGTTCAAATGTTCAACAACATCAGAACTACACCCAGCCTTTGAGGGTGGGCGCAGCCATAAGCCTCTGGCCCTGCACGGGTGCCCACCCGACGTTGACCTCGTCTAAAGGCGAGACCCCATCTCAGGAGAATGCACACAGTTTACTTCTCCCCAGCCCCATCCAGTCCTGAGCGGTGTCGGGTCTGTTCACCTCTATGAAGTCTCCTGGTTCCCCAGAAGCGCACTCCAGGCCTCTGCAAGGCTAGTCTGGGGGGATTATAAGTGGAAGTGCAACCGACCATCGCATTCTGGGTCTGCAAGCCTGTTGGCCAGGCTGGTCTCGAACTCCTGATCTCAAATGATCCGCCCACCTCGGCCTCCCAAAAGTACTGGGATTACAGGCAGGAGCCACTGCGCCCAGCCTAGTTATTCTTTGAATGGTGTGAATTACACTGATTATTTTTATTTTTATTTTTTTTTTGAGGCGGAGTCTCGCTCTGTCGCCCAGGCTGGAGTGCAGTGGCCAGATCTCGGCTCACTGCAAGCTCCGCCTCCTGGGTTTATGCCATTCTCCTGCCTCAGCCTCCCGAGTAGCTGGGACTACAGGTGCCTGCCACCTCGCCCGGCTAGTTTTTTTGTATTTTTTTAGTAGAGACGGGGTTTCACCGTGTTAGCCAGGATGGTCTCGATC